GAGGATGATATTATTCAGGAACATGTGAACTTCATTAAAGATAACTTTAATATTCGTGTTTCTGAGGACAACCTTTGTCTACCGAGAATCTTTTGGATTCCTAAACTTCACAAGAATCCTTATAAGTCTAGATTTACAGCTGGGGCCAGTAAATGTACCACTAAGCAGATATCAGTTGTAGTCAACAAAGCTTTAAAAGTTTTAAAAGAATACTTTTCCAAATACTGCAACTCTATCTACAACAATACTGGAATTAACTGCGACTGGAGCATTAACAGCTCTAAACAGTTCCTAGAAAGGCTGCCTAGACTAGAGATTTTTAATATGCAGGTATACGACTTTACCACTCTGTATACCAATCTAGACCTTCAGGTTGTACAGTCACTGCTTTTCGAGCTAATAGATCTCCTCTTTAGTAATACGAATAAATTTATTTGTGTTTCTCTGTATAAGAACAACAATTTTTTCTCTAAAAAGGAATATAACGGATACTTATGTTTTTCTGCTGATAAACTCAAAACAGCTATTACATTTATTCTGTTTAACACTTTTGTTTGTTTTGGGGATCAGATTTTAAGGCAAACGAAAGGCATTCCCATGGGAGGGAATTCTAGTAGCCAGTTCGCTGATCTTTCGCTAGGGAAGTGTGAATTCAACTACATGACACGCCTAATCAAAGAAAAGAAGTTCGGTCTCGCTAAGCTCCTCTCAAGAAACTGAAGATATGTCGACGACCTCAACACCATGAACTATTTGTATTTCTCTAACCTAATCAGGTCCATTTATCCACCTGACCTGCTTATGGAGAGGAGTGGTGACGACAATAAGTCCGTAAACTATCTCGACATCAACATCTCGATGAATAACTCCGGACACTTCGCCACCAAGCTTTACAACAAACTTGATGACTTCAACTTTCCTGTGGTCATGTACACCTTTCCTAACAGTAATATTTCCTCTTCTGTTGGTTATAATGTTTTTTATGGTCAGGTCCTTTGTTACTCTTCCATTATCTCTGACCTTGATTCTTTTCTGTGTTCTACCAACACCCTTTATAGGACACTTCTTTCAAGATGTTATAATGACAGACTCCTGAAGAGTAAATTCAGAAAGCTTCTGAAAGACCGACCTAGTATTCTGTACAAATACAGTATACTTAATGTCAGCGACATCCTTGACATCACATTTAACGTGGACAGGTGATCACTGACGAGTGATTGCTAGGGGGTCTTGGCACATTAAACCGGTACAGGTATTAAACCCCCGAAACCGGTGTGCCAAGTCATCTGCTGATGATGTTCACATAACATTCAATTTCCTCTTTCCTTTATTCCTTCCGTCTTTTCTTATACTTACAGTTCAGTTACTTTATTTCACCAGGTCTACCTAAGGATCAATTATTCTTTGGTGGGGTTTCACTTCTGGTATTGGCTTCATTCCCGTTCCTTTTCCTTATTCTTTATACTTATTTTTTTATATAGTTTAATGAGATTTCAAGCAGTTATGAGAGAGAGAGAGAGCTTGTAACCATGGATTGTTCTTCAAGTTGAAGTTGACAATAACATGCAATAAATATAACTGGGGGCCTAGTGCAGTAATTGGGGGCCAGCATTGGAAAAAAGTTGTGGTGTGTAAAAGGTCATACTTGTCAATTAGTTCATACACACAGCTAACATAGGCCCTAGAAATACCTCACAGCCCAATATATAAAATTTAAAAGTGTACTATTCAATACGGCTGTCAGAATGAAGGTTTTCTAAATTGCGATTATTGACTTATACCAAAATGCCAGGAATGTTTGATTTGGGTAGAATAACGCTGCAGATATGTGTTAATAACGATAGAGGGTCTAAAAAGATTCCTAGAGCCATGATGGAAAAATGGGGACAACTTTGTTTAGGAAAACTTCATTCTGACAGCCGCAGTCTTCCTTCTATGTTGTATAATTCCCCAAGAATAGTGATTTAGTTGACAAAAGAGGTGATATGGTATTGGTGTATAATTTACCTAACTGCCTGCAAGTCCAATATAAACCAAAAAGTTTTTTTTTGTAATGTAGCCCTCAAAATACAAAACTTCATTCTGACAGCCGTAGTCTAAAAAGGGGTATATTTCATGCCCATTTTTTTCCCTTTTACTGGCAAATTTTAACAATTCCAAACCCCGGGAAGGAAACTTGGTTCTTTTGCGATAGTCAAAACGCGACAACTAGCGCTGGATGGCGACAACTAGCGCTATCCAGCGCTAGTTGTCGCCATCCAGCGCTAGTTGTCGCTATCCAGCGCTGGATAACGCTGGCCAGCGCAAAATATATATGTTCGATAATTGTCGCTATCCAGCGCTAGTTGTCGCCATCCAGCGCTAGTTGTCGCCATCCAGCGCTAGTTGTCGCTATCCAGCGCTAGTTGTCGCTGGCTATGCGACACTGTCGCACGCGATAGTTTGCGATGGCCAGCGCAACTGGCCATCGCAGAAAACAGTTCGATAACTAGCGCTGGATAGCGACAACTAGCGCTGGATAGCGACAACTAGCGCTGGCCAGCGCTAAGCGATAGCCAGCGCTGGCCAGCGCTGGCCATCGATATCCAGCGCAAAATTTTTGCGCTATTACTCGTCAGCTAGCGCTGGCCAGCGCTAGCCAGCGCTAGTTGTCGCTATCCAGCGCTAGCCAGCGCTGGCCAGCGCTAGCCAGCGCTAGTTGTCGCTATCCAGCGCTAGCCAGCGGTAACCAGCGCTAGCCAGCGCAATGTATCAAAATCATATACTTGCGATATTACTCGGATGATGATTAATCACTTTACACTTGACTGTCACGTGCCTTTTTTAATCCATTCTCTGACTCTAGCTGGTTCTGAACGACTTTTCGAAACCCCAACCCTCTAAGTCTAATCTGATCCCAACCCTAACCCTAACCCAATCCTTAACAAAAACATATGCTGAAACCCTAACAATAACGAGAAATTAGACTAACTTCCTTATACGGTCATATCACGTGATCGATACATGTACAGTTTTTCGCCAATATCTCGTCAGGAGAGCATTTTAACCCTATGTCATGGGCCCATGGGGGTTGATTCGGAATTAGCGTCCGAAAATACATCGATTGAAGTTGGACACAACCATCGGGGGCCCTTTTAGAACAATCTCGAAGATCGACTGTAGAGTGATTTAGCACGCTCGATATTAGTATTACTCGTCAGCCAGCGCTGGCCAGCGCAGAATAGTTGCGATATTACTCGTCAGCTGACAGCTAGCGCTGGCTAGCGCTGGTTAGCGCTGGCTAGCGCTGGTTAGCGCTGGTTAGCGCTGGTTAGCGCTGGTTAGCGCTGGCTAGCGCTGGCCAGCGCTGGTTAGCGCTAGCTGACGAGTAATAGCGCAAAAATTTTGCGCTGGATATCGATGGCCAGCGCTGGCCAGCGCTGGCTATCGCTTAGCGCTGGCCAGCGCTAGTTGTCGCTATCCAGCGCTAGTTGTCGCTATCCAGCGCTAGTTATCGAACTGTTTTCTGCGATGGCCAGTTGCGCTGGCCATCGCAAACTATCGCGTGCGACAGTGTCGCATAGCCAGCGACAACTAGCGCTGGATAGCGACAACTAGCGCTGGATGGCGACAACTAGCGCTGGATGGCGACAACTAGCGCTGGATAGCGACAATTATCGAACATATATATTTTGCGCTGGCCAGCGTTATCCAGCGCTGGATAGCGACAACTAGCGCTGGATGGCGACAACTAGCGCTGGATAACGCTAGTTGTCGCCATCCAGCGCTAGTTGTCGCGTTTTGACTATCGCAAAAGAACCGGAAACTTTCCCTAGTTTTTAGGTGTTTGTGAAGTTTCTGGTTTAAAACAGCTGTTTTTAAAGATTTTGTGGCTTTTATAAAAACACCTTCATTCTGACAGCCTTACACCCGTATACACAGAAAAAGTTGCACAACGATGGATTCTTTCGTGATACTGCCAGTTCCCCGGGCCATTTACTTTCATCATTATTTTATACTCATGTATAATTTAGAGCATTTCAGGACTCTCTCTGTATATAAAACTTGTACAGTTCTACAGCGGATATCATTATTAAGGCTTTAAGGGGCTCAAATATACCAAATATTAGCCGCAATAGTCTAGTTAAGGCCCCAAACTAGATGCTGCCTTATTCAGCACCGTCCACGACTCCACATTGCACATCTTCATCAATTATTGCAGAGCAAGATCATTACTTGAATGCAACGTGAAGCTCTATAAAGTGAAGCTCAATACACTCTGCCTGTTTAAAATTCATTACTTCATTATCATGTTGAGGACAATTATTGCAATGCTAAGCCTAAATAGCTAAATAGCTAAATAGCTAAATATGCGCCACGCTGGACTTGTTTCTATATTTGTTGTTTGTTAATATCTTTATATAATTTCCATTCGTACAACAATTTCCCAATATTCCAATAGCTCAATAGGAATACTAGGGTGCAGCCCTGGTCGATTAGCGGATTGTTTGCAATTTGGCATACCCCCTCCATTATTAACCCACACTGCAGGAGTTAACCCTGTATAGATTGCAATTTGCAGTGCTCTGACGTCCCTGATGTTGCGATAGCTATTGTAGGCTTCTTCTTGCTTACAGGATTCCATAGAGGCTATGCAATATAAATACTAATTGCTTAATGTGAATTTAATGGGCCATTACCTCGTTCTAACGATTAAGTTATATCCAAAATAACATTCTCTAAATGTTCACTAACGTAGTTACTAGGTACAGGAGGTACTTTTTATATTGCCACATATTTGTAAATTCTTCTCGAACAGACTCTGAAGTCTGATGGTGTTATTGAGTCTCATTTGATGATTCTTTCAAGAAAGTTTTGAGAGGTGATACATATATTTACCTTCAGTAGAACATTATCATCACTGAGCTTATTCAGAAAATGTCTTGAACAATACAGATTCTGTTAAAATACCGTTAAATGCTCGACGCCTTCTACTTTATTAATTTCTCACTTCCTCTGATAGATGGAGCAGTTAGGTAGATTGTGTTGGCTCTCACTGGAATCCTGATACTTGTGGTACCGACCTTGGTTATCTTCCGAACTTACACCAACGACTAGTATTGGATCGGTCGTTTGACATGAAGCTATGTGGTTTAATCGCAATCTTTTCTGTTATCGGTAAGAAACTTTTATTTTCAAAATCTTTTTGTAAAAACTTATTGGTAGAAACCGTATTTCAAAAAACAGTATGTAACACTCCACACTGATATATCCTATATTTTATTCGATATGGCTCATTATAACTGATTAACCCCTTGATCACGAAGTTATTTACTGTCGTGCCCCCCTCCCCCTCTTCCGCATCATCTGGCAAAATTATAGCAATCACGATTGGTAATTTTTAAGGATTCATCGTATTTGTAACAACGGATTTATTCAATGGTGTTAATGACGAAAATTAGTTACGTTGCTGTTACAAATCAATGCACAATTAGCACTAAATCGATAAAGATAACTTGAGTCTGCTCTAAGTTGTTACCTTGCTTCTAACTCACTAACTAAGTTGTTACTCACACCCCTCCTTCCAGGAGTAACAGCAGGTTCCGAGTTTGTGTACGCAGTGTTCCCTATCAAGAGGCAGGTGGAATACAGAGTACCCCTGTCTAACAGTGGACTAGGAGAGACCAGGACCCTGTCGGAGCTGAGTCTCTGTGGCTGGGTGGTTCACTATAATGTGTATGTGAACCAGGACTCTTCTGTGATGACTGTGGGGGATCAGGGACAGTTCAGGTTACTTACTTACACAGTTACGAGCTACCAAGTTACCTGCTAAACTTTCTCTACCACAATATAACGCTTGCAGTGTCTACACTCTACTTTGCAATCGATTGATACTGACGCAGGCTAACCTGAAACCTATCTGTGTGCATGTTGATATTGAAGCAGGCTAACCTGAAACCTATCTGTGCAGGTTGATATTGACGCAAGCTAACCTGAAACTTATCTGTCCAGGTCGATATTGACGCAGGCTAACCTGAAACCTATCTGTGCAGGTTGATATTGACGCAGGCTAACGCGTATATAGATGTGGCTGGCTGGAGGAGTGAGATGATAGACCTGGTACAACCCAATACTGACTGGTACCACATCTGTGTAACCTGGACAAGTGTCCGGGGACAGTACAGGATCTACGTTAACGGACTCCTGCAACTCAGTGGTAAGTGTTACCAGGTTACCAGGTTACCAGGTTACCAGGTTACCAGGTTACCAGGTTACCAGGTTACCAGGTTACCAGGTTACCAGGTTACCAGGTTACCAGGTTACCAGTTTACCAGGTTACCAGGTTACCAGTTTACCAGGTTACCAAGTACAGGATCTACGTTAACGGACTCCTGCAACTCAGTGGTAAGTGTTACCAGGTTACCAGGTTACCAGGTTACCAGGTTACCAGGTTACCAGGTTACCAGGTTACCAGGTTACCAGTTTACCAGGTTACCAAGTACAGAATCTACGTTAACGGACTCCTGCTACTCAGTGGTAAGTGTTCCGTCTTTGAAACGACAGTTTCTCCCTCACTTCACCTCCATCATCTCCACATAGATGACTCCAGCTACCTCCTTCAGGGTAACCATACCCTAGAGGCAGGCAAAGCATCCTCATGTTATCCTTTAGTGAGCCGTCTAGGTCGAGCCTAAAAAAGTAAGAAAAAAAAGTTGGTAATCAAAAAGTCCTAGTTACCGTTGGTGGAGTTATAAGATACCTGCTTATAATAGCCGTGATTGCCCGGATTACAGTCGGTATTTCCGCGTAATCAAGTGTGACGGTAGATTAAATGACAAATGAGTTGTCAGGAATGAGGACATGGATTTAACAGTTACCAGGATAAGAAATGGGAAATATTATTTCACCATCTGAAAACAAAACGCAAACAGATTTTTTGAAGTGCTGTCAATCATAAATTCCAAATACAATTACAATTGCACCAACATCAAAATTGATTTCTTGTCTGCGTGATAAATATTGGTATCTGTCGAACCCTTCAGATATAATTTTAAACAATAATTGATATAATGCAATACTCTAGCAATAGCGTAGAAACATTCTATAACCTACATTGATCTGACAAACAGAGGAGATCGTGAGAATCACATGGATTGTTATTTACGTAGATCAGGGACAAAAGGAAATCGCGGCATGTGTGGCATCGCGATTTTTCCCATTCTTTGCGACAAATTTTATATGTCGTCTGTTTGGCTTGTCGCGGTATCGCGAGCTTTGGCCAAAACAATCGCGATTTTCTTTTGTCCCTGACGTAGATGCTCCCTACTGTATCATCAATAAAGACATGTTTCCATCCGAGGTTTAAACTTCAAGCTCGTGATTCGACCGAGAGGCGGTAAATCAAAGCTTGTCTGAATCTACTGGTCTTCTAGTGAATTATTAAGAGACGCATAGAAATATAATTATTTTTTCTTATAGTAATAATTATAACAAAAGATCAAATGAGCATTTCTATAATCTTGTAGGATCAAACTTTCTTTATGGATGGCTTTACAAATAATCCGGATTTTTGTCAGAACTCCTACAATAATTCAAAATGAGAAGATTTAAAATATCTAGACAGTCTTCAGTCTGATTGAGGATACAGGTCCCGAGAATTTATACAACCAAGACCACACTAGAGTCCATACTCTAGATGTGTCAATATAGATTTTCTAATACAGCAGGCTATTTCGGCTCAAATCAACATATGCCGGCGGTTTTTTAAATAATGATCGATAATAAAGATAAATAGCTGTTTATAACTCTTATCAGTTGCTCTTATCAGTTACAGTTTATTCACTACGTTTAAATTGACTACTTATCAGTAATCACACACTACATCATTGTTCTGTAATATAATGATATCATCGGTTAAATAGGGCAAGATTGAAAAATGTTTGAGAAATTGAATCTTTTTGAGTTGTTGAAAGGTAAGATTGGTAATGTGCCCACCCCTAACACTGCACTTGGAAAATCTGCCGCTTGTGAAAACAACGCCCGGCAACAAGGTCAAAAGGAAAGCGCGGCACGTGCGGAATCGCGATTTTTCCCATTCTCCTTGACAAATTTGTTAAGTGAGATTTGGAACAATGATAATATTGATCAATAGTTAAGACAATTAATCTATAATATAACGTTATAACATACCTTTGCGAACACAATATGGACAAAAACTCATGAGGGTAAAGGAAATATTGCTACGAACATAGTGATACTGATAATGAAAAACATATACAACGATGCCATAATGCTGGCAACATGCCGCAACCTCTAAGTAGCCACCTCTAAGTCGTACACACAAACCAACTAGCAAGTCGTCACCCTACAAACCAGTCTATCCCCAATTCATAATTCTATTTGTGCAAATACATTATCTTTTGCTGCGATTTTCGCCACGATTTTGCCTAGTTTGGCTTGTCCCGGCGCCGCGATTTTTGGCCTAAATAATCGCGATTTTCTTTTGTCTTTGCCTGGCAATCAAAAAGGCGGAGATAAACAAATCGGCAAACATCTGTCCCTAATATACAGTTTTAAACTAATAACAACACTACAAATCTATTATGTTTATTGAGTATTATGTAATGGGATGGCAGCGTTTCAACCAGGTGTAGCCAGTCCCTGGCTCTATAATATGAAGAATTTGTTTCACTTCTAGGTGAAAAGCTCGAATACATGGTTTTCAAATGATTCTCATTTTTCACAAGCCTTTCCTAGATAAATTGTCTTTCATCTGGGTCTTCGTCTGTCTTCTTGTTCTTTAAAAAGTTGTGCTCTACCGAACGATTTGATTTGATAAAGAATATACTAAAGTGATCCGAGTCAACCTCAGGTAACAGCTTTAGACGTGCGTCAACCGTGCGTCAATCAGCACTGCAGGCAAATTACCAAATTCCCTAATCTAAAGTTGTTTCAGGTTCTAACCTAGCAGCAGGGGAGTTGCTTGAAGACATAACCTCGTTAACTATCGGCAACAGTTCAGACAGTTATGTGTTTGCAGGACGAGCTTCTTACGTTCAGCTCTACTCAAGGTCTATTTTTAATGTTTTACTATTCCTTCCTCTGAGTTCCTGCTCATGAAATGCTGATTTGTTCAAGTTTTGCAACTCCGAATGATTCGCCTAAGTAATAATTGTTTCTCATTGAACATGGTCACAGAGTATTGAACCAGTCGGAAGTGTTGGAGGAGTCGTGCTCTCAACGGTGTGCTGCCTGCACAAGGTCCCTTCTTCTATCCTGGAATGAGATAGCTGCTCAAATATCCAGAACTGACAGCGTTTATAACGACGAGCACAGTCCGATCTGTGAGTTGAAACCTCTGATTATCAAATATGTATAGGAAACGTGACACAATCGTGGACATTAATTCAATTTTGTAGGGAACTTTACTCTTTAGCAGCAAATAAAATGACAACACTAGTTTGATGTACGATATGGTCCCCGTATTAATGTTATAAGTTTTGAATTTACTAACCTTGCCACTGATATAAGCCCGTCATCAGATCTGCCGCCTCCTTCTGGACTGCGAGTAGAGCTACAGAACCCCCAGAGTATCAGAGCCAGGTGGTCCCCCGTCAGCAGACAGTTCCAGTGGTACAATGTCAAGATATCTCCTTCTAACAGACTCCCCGCGCAACAGATAGTTTATACTACCGTCAAGGAGCACATCATTATCAAGTTAGTTCTTCGTAGATATTTATGAAATGGGCAGTATCCAAGAAACCCTACCCAGTTCGTGTACCAGTCCGTGGACTGGGTCGGGCTTCTTGGATACTGCCGTGAAATAGTGAAATGCACTTTGAAATCAACGAACCGTGCTTAATTCTACGGTGTATGTGTTATTACAATTTTAGTAAATCAGAGAAATTAGGAATAGGTGTTAAACTCGCATTCCTCCGAGCTTCGTTTTGAAGGGTTACGGTTATTAACCTTGTTTACTTCAGAGACCTGTCGGAAGATACTTTGTACCATGTGAGGGTCTCAACACAATCCAGATGTGGAACTGAGACCTGGTCTAACCCTGCAACTATTAGGACCATGGCTGGTAAGTAATGGTAATATTAGAGATAAGTGATAGTTAAGTGATGTAGTTTCCAGCTTCAGTATTTAGACGGTGTTTACCTGCAACTGCCCTGAACACTATTGTTAGAAGCAGTAGGTGATGATAGGTTAGAATAGCAGTCTACGCTACTATATACTCATATAAACGCAGGTAGGAGGTGCCGGCTATTTGTTAAGTTATTCCAGAGTCTGCGCATATTATACGTTTGGTGGCTGCATCTTGTTCAAAAAGAGCTTTGTCGTTTATTTTGTAATCATTAATATTCATGATTAAGTGCTGTTTAATATTTTCAAATTAGAAGAAAACTTTGTCTGATTAGGTTTCAGTTTTCACACTTTACTTACGTCACAGCAGCTTTACTTGGCATTACGTTACCATGTGCCCCCTTCCCCCTCCCCCCTCCGCTAAAATGTTTTGCCCCCCCCCCCTACTAGTTTGGTCCTTCAAAAAAAGAAAAGGTTTTTGGTGCACCCCTCTGGAAATGTACGTTACGTCACTGGATCACACTGACAGTGGACCTATAGACCTACAGGGGAACCAATTAGACTTGCGCCAGGCGTTTGGTGGGGTCTGTTGTGAAAGTGTAGCCACTGGTACTCACCCTGAAATCATTTAAAACTTGCACCAGCGTTTTGATGAGGCCTTCCGTGAAATTAGAGCTTTATTTGAAGTTATTATTTTGATGACTCAGAACTTTTGTTAGCAGAATTATCCTGTTTTAAGTATCTTGTTACACTACTGAAGCACTACAAATCATGAAAACATACCGCTGCACGTCCGAAAACGTCGGAATAATGCTTAATAATTGCAATCAGAAATTTAAAATATTTTGAATTTCGTCGCGTTGTAGTGTCCACGTACGTTTCAGTTCCCAAACTCGTAATAACTTACGACTTGTTGATTTCTGATAAATGGATATGACAAGAACAAAACCTGTTGATACTGATCTAGTCAGGTGATCTGTCATGGACATCGCATTTGTTTTGTCTTATTTGCGTGTGGTAACACAGCCATTCACAGTCAGCACTTTCCAATGCGGTGTGGAGAAAGTGCCTGTGTACTGTGCCTGTGTAAGATAAACAGTATTATTAGAAACTATCTTTTGAAACAGAACATTGTTATTCTAGGGAACAAAGGGTCATTATTGTCATGAGCCACTAGTCATTGTTATCAACTTAGCAATTACGGAAACATTGACGGCAACATTGACCGTCCCAACTGTTATCTTATTATCTATAGATTCTCCTATTTGCAACTTCGTTACTTACATGTTCAGTTTCAAACTTTTGGAGGCTTGAGGCAGCAGATCATGAAATTAGTGTTGTGTAAATCCTGTGAATGATACAAACGAATTTCCAGTTTTTTGAAGCACAGATTTACGTTCGCAGATACTTGTTTCCGTGCTGCAAAAATGTGAAACGGCATACCAACGCATGCCTGGTATATATTGGTTAGGTGCCAAAGATAAGTTTTTTGACATCTGTATATTTCTCCGGACTCGTTTATAGGAAATCAGGCTAGCTCCTTCCTGTTAACAACAGCTATTATTGTCCTGTTGTCCTGTCAAAGAGTAACTAATAGTAAACATATTCTGCTGCATGTCGGAAAAGGTATTTGTATACTAAACCTACCTGGCTACAGTTGTCACATCCAGCAGTTTCCAGACTTCAAAGCCGTGATAAAATTGTTTTCATTCTTAGTCTTACGTTTCAGCGTCCGAACTAGTTTTGATGATTTCTGAGTTTTGCGTTCGAGCTGAATACCAAACTTTAATTTTAAATTTATTATAAATACTGTTGAAAAGTTACAATCTTGAAATACTCTATTATTATTTTTCTATGTAGCCTCGTCAATCGTATGGTGATTCCAATCTTCAAGTTCCTTCTTTTGTACCTTGTTCAAGAAGCCCTCGCAAAGAGATCGGGTTATTATCCAGGTATTCATTAAGGACTTAGGACTCCTACTACAGTACTACAGTCATTAGATATTGGGGACCGTGTCATAAGTTTCAACCCCATTTCCTCTCATATTTTCTGACGGAAAATGACATATGTATAAAAAGTATCAATATGACAATTGAAGCTGTTCAGCCCTTTCCTTGTTAATCTATTTTTCCCTTTCCTGCCAGGTTATTAGATAACTAATGCCTGCTAACCCCTCCTCGCCTCAGTGCCGGATCCAGTGGGAGATCTGCAGGTATTGGGTACCACTAACAGTACTATAACAGTGAGTTGGAGCTCTGGTGAGGATGATGTCCTGCATTACAGGGTGGGTTCCACTTGCTACCCGGTACAGGGTTTACAGCTGTTATACTGACAGATTATTTGACATGTTGTACACTGTACAGTCTGGCTACTCATTTATTATTTCGAGATCAAGAACTTTTTCAATTCACCGTAATATGGGATTGATTTAAACCGGAATACCCCCACAGTCGGTAATATTTGCGACTGGGGACGGCTCCACACAGCGTCACAAGACCCTGAACAACACCTCCCTAAACTACACCTTCTCCGGACTCTACCCCAACACATGGTACACGGTGAAGATAGCCTCCTACAGCCTGCTCGGTATCGGGGAATACAGCGTCGTGACGGCTCTTACATCCAGCAATCGTGAGGAAATGATATAATCATATCACACTTTGTGGGAGTCAATGATTTAATATTTTACTTTTCTATTAACATTCTTGTTCTCATAAATTTATAACTGTTAAAATACGTGCGTGCACTTTCTGGTATGACAAATAGTTAAAATAGTCTAATCAGTAGTCAATGGCTGTCTCAAAAGACAATTGTACTGCTTCTCTTACCTATGACATATAACAGGCGGCGCTATGCTAAGACAAAAAAGATCCCCAAGTAAATTCTGGAGTTTTTAGCTGATATTGTAGCACTGAAGCACACTTAAAAGCTGCCTCTAAACGCAACTAAAAGCACTTTTATAAGTTTATCATTGTTTCGCGCGGCATTATCTTCAAAAGTTCAAAGTAACTACCCGTTTTTGTCGCCATGCTTTCTTACTTCTGTATATCAAAAGTCTTTGAGTGAATCCTAAAAAGCGAATCCTTTCAGCCGCTCCTGATGTCGACGTTACAATAAATATTGAGATATTGCCGGAGTTTGAGGTAGCGGTGAGCTGGGACGTGTCCGCGGATCCGAGCGAGTCTTCCTTCCTCTACAAGCTAACTGTGAGTACTGAGGGTAGTTGGTGACTAGGGGTAACCAGGGGTACGGTGAATAACTACTAACCAGGGGTACGGTAACCAGGGGTAACCAAGAGCGAGTCTTCCTTCCTCTACAAGCTAACTGTGAGTACTAAGGGTAGTTGGTGACTAGGGGTAACCAGGGGTAAGAGTGGGTAACTACTAACCAGGGGTACGGTAACCAGGGGTAACCAGGAGCGAGTCTTCATTCCTCTACAAGCTAACTGTGAGTATTGAAGGTAGTGGGTAACTAGGGGTAACCAGGGGTAAGAGTGGTTAACTACTAATCAGGGGTACGGTAACCAGGGGTAACCAAGAGCGAGTCTTCCTTCCTCTACAAGCTTACTGTGAGTATTGAGGGTAGTGGGTAACTAGGGGTAACCAGGGGTAAGTAGTAGGTAACTACTAACCAGGGGTACGGTAACCAGGGGTAACCAAGAGCGAGTCTTCCTTCCTCTACAAGCTTACTGTGAGTATTAAGGGTGGGATGCTTGCGGAGGGCAGTGATGTGTATTCTGCTTGTCACTGTGTTGACATGACACTTGTATCCTATATATACTTGTTATTGGCTAGCTAGCCTGTTATTGGCGCTCAAACACAGACACTCACGGAGTACCTAGTGAGAGTGATCATTGTACTGGTTATTGTGTGTAACAGGCTGTAATGTTAACCATAGTTCTATAAATATGACTGGGCAAAGTTGTGAAATATTCCAATTTATCAGATAAAGAAGCTGTCTGATAAATTAAAGAGGACCTCTTACTCCAAGCAGTTACCCGACTCTGGAGCAGAATTCAAGGTTGACGGGAAGAACACTCCTTTTATAGGTTGGTAAACTCCTGTCTCTCTTTTAACCCTCTCTCACTGTGACACTCCTGTCTCTCTTTTAACCCTCTCTCACTGTAACAAACCTGTCTCTTTTTAACCCTCTCTCACTGTGACACTCCTGTCTCTCTTTTAACCCTCTCTCACTGTAACAAACCTGTCTCTTTTTTAACCCTCTCTCACTGTGACACTCCTGTCCCTCTTTTAACCCTGTCTCACTGTAACAAACCTGTCTCTTTTTTAACCCTCTCTCACTGTGACAAACCTGTCTCTCTTTTAACCCTCTCTCACTGTGACACTCCTGTCTCTCTTTTAACCCTCTCTCACTGTAACAAACCTGTCTCTTTTTAACCCTCTCTCACTGTGACACTCCTGTCCCTCTTTTAACCCTGTCTCACTGTGACACTACTGTCTCTCTTTTAACCCTCTCTCACTGTGACACTCCTGTCTCTCTTTTAACCCTCTCTCACTGTGACACTCCTGTCTCTCTTTTAACCCTGTCTCACTGTGACACTCCTGTCTCTCTTTTAACCCTCTCTCACTGTGACACTCCTGTCCCTCTTTTAACCCTGTCTCACTGTGACACTCCTGTCTCTCTTTTAACCCTCTCTCACTGTAACAAACCTGTCTCTTTTTAACCCTCTCTCACTGTGACAAACCTGTCTCTCTTTTAACCCTCTCTCACTGTAACAAACCTGTCTCTTTTTTAACCCTCTCTCACTGTGACAAACCTGTCTCTCTTTTAACCCTCTCTCACTGTGACACTCCTGTCTCTCTTTTAACCCTCTCTCACTGTGACATCTTTGATATTAACTTCTAACGTGGTTCAATCAAATGTTTCAAGTTCTACATCGATCTTGATAGACAATATTTTAAATATTTTATCACCACGTTACCCCTGGTTACCCCTGGTTACTCCCCAGAGATAAAGACGAGTCTGAGAGCCCTGACAGTTAAAGGTCTGGTCCCCTACGCGGCCTATCACGTGTCAGTTGCTATCTGTCCGGACCCGACCTCCCTCTGTCTCCTCACCTCCCATCTTAATAAGATATACGTAGCACAAGCTGGTGAGGATACTATAAAACCAATTCGTTATAATTGTTTAGTATTTTAATATTTATAATTGTTTAATATTTTAATCTTTAATATTTATAATTGTTTAATATTTTAATCTTTAACATTTACCTGCATTAACACGTTGTCATCACTATTCAGAAATTTCTTGTAATTACCTTAACATTAATAGATCCAAATGTCTATTTCAACGAAATTGAAAGTTTTCATTTCCGTTGTATACGTAATAAGAATGAAATGTGCACGTTCTCTAAAGGTTTAATTCCCCCAGAGCAACACTACTACCAACAATTCTTCAGTGGAGGTCCTATCAGTCATAAGATAGTTCAAGACATGGTTAGTAAACTCTTTCTACATTTCATGTTTTCATCATTTGTATCCCAATTATTCCCACTCTTCTCCTACCTATGAACTTAACGCTATTTTATAACATCAACGAGAGTCCTAGTTCAAGAATACATTTTTTTTGTAATTAAACAATGAATGAGTGTTAAACTTTCAGTTAAATCTTTTTAACATTGGTAGAATATTTTATAACTTCATGGTAAAATATTTTCCTACAAGAACCCTCTCATTTGTTGTGCCACATACTACTACCCCGTCTCTCCAGGTGCAACATTTTACACAGAACAGCAACTTCAGCACACACTTCACTGTGACTAACATAGCCCCCACTTCCTTCTTGGGAAAACTCACATTTTCTAACCAGGAGGACGGTAAGCTATCAATACTACTAGTACTAGTAACTTATCAGCTATACTACTAGTACTAGTAACTTATCAGCTATACTACTAGTACTAGTAACTTATCAGCTATACTACTAGTACTAGTAACTTATCAGCTATGGTCATTAAACATGACTTATAATTTATATATTGATCTGTAATTTATCAGACTATTCTCGATCCTCATTTTAAATTATTATTACTTAAACAGAGACTTGTTACCCCCCCCCCCCCCCACCTCCCGCTCCCCTCCCCTAAAACTATTCTATCCTGCCAGGAAGTAACCTGACACAAGGTGAGATGTGGTACACTCTGTACCGGGCACAGGGCACAACATTCCAGGACCTTCTACTCGGCTCTTCCTTCCAGCTCTCTCCTGTCAGACCCTCAGGTACCAGCTCAGGATCATATTACTGTGTGATCGTCATGTGATCAGCTTGCAACAGGACTGTTAATCTTTTAGCCGCTATTTGTGACAAATTACAAATGAGAGTACGCTCTTTGTCCTGCACTTCGGGGGGGATGCAACGTCAATTAATGTCAGTATTCCATAAAAACCCCAAACTGACATTGACATTAATTGACATTAATTGACATTAATTGACATTAATTGACATTAATTGACATTAATTGACATTAATTGACATTAATTGACATTAATATGTCTTGAAATTTGAGATTATCATTATTTGATAAATATTCTAGATATTCACGTCTATGTAAGTTAGACCGGTTCAAAAAAACAAAATGTCCTTGAATAATTATGAGTATGTTCTTATCTGTTGATCCTTAGGTTCAAAGACCACCAAAAAAAATTTCAGCTTCCAACTCTTCCATCTTCGGTCCCCACCGGCCACGCCCATATTTTATTGGTTTCATATACAGGTAAAATATCTAGAATCGGCTTTTTTAGTACGAAGGAGTAATGTTAGCTGTTTAAGATTCGTTATTCAAATATAAATGTCATGATGGCATTTCGTTTAATGTGGGTTTTAAGTTCTGATGATGTTGAGAACCACGCCCTTGGATGGCCACGCCCATTTAAGAAAATTTAATTTCGGAAAACCATATTATTTTAGTTTTATTGTTTAATGATCTGAATTTTTTTCACATTTCACATTTCCATATGTGAAAGTAGTGAATAAATTGATGATATAAACGTTCTAAAGTGCTAAAAATATGGTAGAACTACATAATCTCTGGTCGAAAAATATTGTGTCAATTAATGTCAGTATTCCAAAATTTTGCAAAACTGACATTGACATTAATTGACATTAATTGACATTAATTGACATTAATTGACATCAATTGACATTAATTGACGTTGCATCCCCCCCTGCACTTCACTAGAGAGATATTTAGCTTTATTAAAGATCACTGGCCGCATTACTAAGTTACTAGTCGCATGACTCGCTCCTCAGGATACTGTGACTATCTAAACGACGAGGAGCAGGGTAGAGGTAACTTCACCTGGCCCTATGCCATGGAGGACACAATCACCACTTTACCTTGTAATCTTAACCACCCGTGAGTACTGAGTCATATATGTTATCGGGTTTTCCATTTAGATGCAGTGGTTAGAGATGCAAAAGTTGAGTTTTATTTTGTCTGTATCAATTAAAAATGGAAACTACTCTATAACAAGACTACCTGCTGTATCAGGAACCTGACAGAAGTGCGGAGCAGGAAGTGTGGTGTGGGAGGTTGGGAGGAGGAGGCTGACTATACACTGTGTCCCTACACAAAGTCTACTAGCGGGGACCTACAGCGACTACTTGATGTTAGTTTCAGTTTTATCAAACGCTATTGTAAAACCAGCATGTTTTAATTTGTGTCGGCAAACGAAATTGCACATAATACAGTGATATGATGTTTTGATTTATAGAAATAGGGAATTATTATTGGAACACCCGGGGGTGTTACACCCCTATGTGTAAGTGATAATTACATGAGTAATTCCCAGAAGCAATAAAATGCCTATTCAAGTATTCAGTAACTACAAGAACATTAGTGTTATTATATCCTGATGATATATTTCTGTAGGGGTGATCGTCCCCTACAGAAATACCTTCTAGGTGCCTGATTGGGGATTGCCTTTTAAGGATCACCCAAAAAACCTTTGAAGATATAAAATTCCTTTGAAGGAAGATAGACTTAGTACGCTAGTTTTAAAATGCGAATCTTTGCAATACATTAATTAGCCATCTGATTGTAACTAAAAGCTTGAAATGCAGACTGCACTGACATAACACCTACCTCAATGACTTATTGTTCCTACTCTTACTCTTATAGAGGTATCGACAAATGGTGAGGTGTAAAGATATAATTACAACATATTTTATATAAGTTATTATCATTGTTCCTCCCAAAGTTAAGACTTATCCTCCCCCAGACGGAGATAACGAACGTGGACCAAGCAGTGGAAGTGAGTAAGAAACTAACAGAGGTTACAGCGGGTACCATGACAACAGAGACTATCGGCATGGCCTCACAAGCAATCAGTCAGATAGTCTCCTCTGGGGTAAACCCTGATATTTCCTTCAGTGTCGACGTGAGTTCTGCTTTAGTGCTAAACCCTAAAAACTATGGTTCGGCTGATTAGTACTAGGCTGCTTCCTGTACTGCAGTGATCGTTGGTTTTTTAAAGCAATTGAAGGGTTCTTATTAGTAATTAGAATTTTCATCTTCTCAGGTAGCCGTTAATCTCGCAGGAGCACTTGGAAACATTCAATCACTGGATCGTGGTCAAGTGAGTTTAAACCTATTTTATCTTCCTATTATCATGAATTATAGGAACACGTTTAGTTAATTAGTGATACCTCTTTTGCGGATCAGTGAAATGGGAAACTTCTTGGTGCATTCGATTTAAAATTGTAAACGTATAAACTATACTGCTGCATCTATAGTCCTCTAATTCCTAATCTACAAATTCTAAATCTGTCCACTGAACAGCTGGCTCCGGAGGGCACTGCACTCGCTGCACAACAAATAGTTACTGATGTGGAAACTTACTGTCAGAACCTAACGGGGTCTGACTCAACGCTAGTCAACTACGCATCACCTGATCTCAAACTTGCTGTTGTAAGTATCTCCGCTTCAGTCTTCATTGTAATTTAGGTTTGTTAACTTTGTGTCTACGAGATCTGGAGACTAGACGAAAGTAAGTCTTGGCTAATTGTGCAAGTAAGCAAAAAATCCTCAAATTGTTCTTTCCAGGTAAAATTGCCCTCCGAAACAGATTCAGGCATTTTCATTGCAAGCAGTGCTGGTACCGACTCAGCGATGTCAATCGATTACAAGAAAAAAGGTATTTTATTGTTTATTAAATTCCACTTTGTATGATATTTAACTTCAACACATACCGTATGTGAGTCTAGAGCAAGTAAATGAACACAGTTGAGTCTCATATATTTAGATGCAGTAAAACTATCGGACTGCGACGAAAGGGGACTTGCCACCCATGGCAACATTAAAATATATCGACATCACTTCCTCAACAAATGTAATACATGTGTAGCGTTGCAATTAGTTTAAATCTGCCAGGTTCAGTCGGAGGAGCTGCTAGGAGCTATAAGTGTGAACATCCCCAACAAACTAGTCACTCCAGACTCTTACGTATTGGCAGTCATCTACAAGGACAAATCTATGTTCCCAGCCAACGACCAGGTTTAAAATCGTGTTTTAATGAATAATAGTGAGTAAAATAAATAATAAATAATATGAGAGATGGAAAATCTTCTTCAAACAGTTAAATCGTCATATTTGTCAGATCCTTCCCTTGAATAAATATTGATAAACTATTCGCTAAATATGACAATTTACATTATGGTACGCTTCCAATTTGTCTAATTTCCACACCAGGTTTTCTGAATACAACTTTTCTTAGGGGTTGTCTGGAGATGACTTCAACATCCCCATACTATCTTTGAGCGTGAATACGGTTAAAAAAGACTCTGAACTGGCGGAGGAAGTTGAGTTCAGTCTGACACTGAGTGGTACTGGACGAGGGAAACCTGTATGTGTTTACTGGAACACTGTTGGTTCGTATTAGTTTGTTAACTTCCTGTTTTTAGACATGTTTCCTCTCGATCGTGACTGCAGGTCTCCCAATGTTGAATCACTCCACTACACTTATAGAGGAGTAGAACTGACCAGTGACATCGAGTGTAGCTCATATTAATCATAAAATGATCACAGGCGCAAATATTGACTGATTTTTCAGCTTCAATTTTAATTTCAGATCAGAGTTGGAGTTCGGAGGGAGTGGTTATGGTGTACAGTGATGATAAGAGTATAATCTGTAAAACACAACATCTCACTAGTTTCTCTGCTATACTGGTACTTAGCCCCCCCGGCCCCCCTGCCCGGCCCCCCCCCCCCTACTTATCACCATATCTTGATCCTTATCATACTCCTTATCTCACTTCCATTCTAAATGTAGATATCTGCTAATAAATGTGAATACTGATAAGGTGAAGCTAGTTGATAACCACTATTTCAGTTACCAGCTCAAGACGACTACATCCTGTCTATCATCTCTCAGATTGGTGCTTCTATCTCTATAGTCTGTCTTTTTGCTACCGTCCTCCTCCTCTACATTGTCAGGTAATAATCCTTCCCGTTCATCTTGACTTATCAGCACTAGGCGTTCATCTTCACTTATCAGCACTAGGCGTTCATCTTCACTTATCAGCACTAGGCGTTCATCTTCACTTATCAGCACTAGGCGTTCATCTTCACTTATCAGCACTAGGCGTTCATCTTCACTTATCAGCACTAGGCGTTCATCTTCATTTATCAACAGGCGTTCAACTTGACGTATCAACATTCAACAGGCGTCCTTTATTTAATTAAACCACACGATACCGCAATAGCTGGGTTTCTAAAGATAAAGGAAATTCTTATATTCTAGGTGTACTTCAATAACTGTATGACAACATTGCCAATTGTTTAATAGCCTGAAACAGTGTGCGTGTGTACGTGTAACATGTGTACGTGTGTACGTGTGTGTACGTGTGTGTGTACGCGTGTACGTGTGTACGTGTGTACACTCCTCACTAACCGATGGTTGTTTATGCAGGTGCGTAAGAGAGTGTTTGTCTACAAAGATACACATCAACTTTGCTCTGGCCTTGTTCCTGGCACTACTCTTCTTCATGATAAACGGCAGTACAACTTACCCGGGCACCTATTGCAAGGTAAGAGTGTAGTGATGCCGTAATGCTCCCTACTGAACACTACAGGATTGTAGTCAGTGTTTGGTGAGTGGGTTAACATGAATGGATTTGGTACACAGGTTGTTAAATAATGTGTTGAGAGATATTATTTATCCTACCTACGTTCCCGCTCAGGTGATGGCAGGTATGACCCACTATTTCTTCCTGACTGCATTCTTCTGGATGAGTGTAGAGGCAGTGGGCCTGTACAGGGCGGTTGTTCTTGTCTTCACCAGCGCCTCCAACAATACCTTCCTCATCGGAGCTTCTATCATCGCTTGGGGTAAGTGAGGCTCACAAGTCACAACTCATTACTCATTATATGGATATGTTAGCTGCTTGGACCACTTCCAGATTTGTTTAAATTATGGGATGTTGTTGAAAAAATATTGGTGATCTTGATGAATGATTTAGCTTCGAATGACGATTTGGTATTTCTGAAGGACACCTATTTTAACCCTTGTACCTGGTGTCTGAAGATCAAATTGACTAATCTGGTTACTATTATATTTAATTTTCAGGATTGCCCGCTGTAGCAGTGATAGCACTGTTATCTCTAAAGGAAAACGTCTATCAGATACACACAAATCTGAATGTGTAAGTCGGGACACTGAAGCTTGTTTGTTCTTATTATTCTTCCTTCTTATTCACAAAATAAAGATAAAGTATTCTACGAACTGGTGGGCTTTCAGACTGAATTGTTTTAGCAACTTAATTTCGAGATAAGAGTTTGCCAACAAGGCAGCGACAACACCACTACAACACTACTAGTTACTACTACTATATTTACACCACTACTACCCAGGTGCTGGCTGTCACGTGACTGGATGTACGGAACCTTCTTCAGTCCCCTCCTGATAATGCTCCTCTTCAACTGCATCGTCTTCTTCAGAGTCCTCTTCACCGTCATGAGAAACAAACACTCCAGAACAAAGTTTGTAGTTTGAATTACTATCACTGATTCTGATTGTTAATTACCTTACTACTTTGTCCTTGTGTTCACTGTTCTTGTCTTGTACTCAGAAGTCGCATTTATAAGTGTCGATGTCCAGCCAGACAACCTTGTAACGTAACTGTGACACTGCGGCACTTGCGGCACTCTTATGCGGCACGTGCGGTTCCGCAGTGCCGCATTTTATACGTGATATAGTCGCCTCTATAACGCCTCTATAAGTGTGGATATCTAGCCCGTATAATCGCAGCTGTGGTATAACACCACGTCATACCTCAATCACCAGCACTTCCATCTCGGGGTATGTTAATCTGGGTCTGCTGAACCGTTATCTAATATTTTATCCACCAGATTACGTTATCTAATATAATTGTAATAATAATCATGTGATTATGGTAGCCCCTTATGGTAGCGGCGAACGGGCGGGTCACAATGAGGGGTCCCCCGCCACAATGCTTATCATAAAATGAGCAGTGGCGTAACGTTGGCGCCCCCCGCCGAAAAATCGCCCCTCTGTTGGCCCCCCCCCCCCCCCCCCCCCCCCCCTTTTGGTGCCTCCTCTCACCACCTGGTCAGCGGGGCCCTTCGTTAGTGTTACGTCACTGAACATGGGTACAGTGTGCCCAGAGCTCTGGGATGATTGTCAGATCTTTCGATTTAAAGCTGTTTTTATTGTGTCGATTTATAGCCCAAAATCTGATATTAATATTTTTATTTCTTTGATCATCACATCCCGACCAACTGAATTATAAAGCTGTTGCTAGGTTACAGTTTGTAAAGCTGTATATATATATTAGTAACATTTTATCTATTTATGAATATGATTGGAACCTGGAGTTACTGATTTATCAATTGGTCATTTTACTACTTTTATTTGATTCTTGAACTAAAAGCGTTAATATCTATTTCGATATTATTGGTAATAACTATGTATTAGTAAAGCTGGAATTTCTCGAGCTGCTGCCGTTAAAATGGAATTACCTACCGAATTAACGTACCACATTAAAGTTTTATTTTATCTGATAAATTCCAAGTCAAGTCAACCTGACATGGAGTTAACTTAGTAAATAGTTTATTGCTAATAATAATTTAACGTAATATCCAAATAGGATAAGTTAAAAATTTAACGTTACATTTCTGAGCACGCTTCTCCTCGCTTTCTTGTATTATTGAAGTGTTGAAGAGAATAGACCGCCGTAGTTCTTTGCTTTTCCTAGCCAACCTCCTTACATCATACATCGCTAGAATATATGGCTTGCAAAATTCAAGTAAAATATACTTTTGAAGTTGAAAGATGCTGCGAACTACTTCAAACTTCATTTCAAAAAAGAAACTTTTATAGATTTATCGAAGCTGTATCTCAAAGTATGCATACAAGAAGTCTAAGCAATTAGCAACAGTTGGTAAAAATCAACAACTCTGCTTCCTAAATCTGCCTAAAACATTTAGTATCATCGTATGTTCATGATCCATTTTTACGTTGAACAACAATTTATCTTTACGACAGCCCTGAAGTCTTGAAGGATTGTTGCTCTAAGTTTTCTTAAGAATGTTAACGGCTGTTTAATTAATGTGTAATATTTTAAATATTCCCCTCAGAGGTACAATGAAGCCTGGACAAAGATTGGTAGAACTGCGGATAATATTATCCATCATGACACTTCTTGGTAAATGAATATTTTAAATATATTTTTTAAGAGTATTTCATATGTGTCAGTCTTTTTAGATACACCTAATGAAATGTGAGTGAGTGAGAATAGTTAGTCCATGTACATTGTATGCGTGTCGAATCTATCTTAATAAAGAAAGTCAAATCAATTATTCATTTAACTGCAACGAAAAAAATTATAAAAAACGTAAAATAATTCTCGCTGCAGGGTTAACTTGGATATTTGGAGTTATCCAGATCTCTTATCCTCACATAGTCCTGGAATATTTCTTCGCTTTAACGAACACTCTGCAGGTACACATAGCTTCAGGAGCCTATTTATTTTAGGGTTGTGATCTTGTTAACACGTGCTCGGACTCAAACAAGACTTAAAACATCAGTGTTAACACTTAAAAAGACAACTTTCATACTTTATCATTTAAAGTTTAATGATTCCATGCGACAACATGATTTCTACTCTACCTCTCACATAGTTTATAACTGCTGTAAAGATGACTTCTAACTGAAATGACAACAGGGCGTGGCAGTGTTTGTGTTCTACTGTCTCTACAACCCCAGTATCAGACTAGCTCTCTGGAGAGTGGCTCATGGCAAGTCTATCAATGAGTCCGCCTCCAATAGTTCCTCTCACCAGAAGAAGAAGAAGAAGAAACGACTTAGTATCCGGCAAGCCACCCGTCAGAAGATCAGTATTGTTAAGGCGCATGTGAGTCACGGAGAATATTTTTACTTCCCTCTTTATTTAATTTGCATTAGAAAATATAAGTTAGGACTTTCCTGATACCAAACTCGACCCCCCTCCCCCCCCCCCCCCCCCCCCAAACTCTAATTCAAACGATAAACATTCCCCTTAGATTGACGGCAATCCATTCGCTTTCACCACAACAGAAGGTGGGGCCACGCTGAGGAAGATGGACAGGAAGAACTGGAAGAAGCTGAAGAAAAACGACATCCAACACACAAACGCTCAACTAGCTGATCCAATAAACCCTAGAGGAGCCACTGTGCTGTGTTCTACTGGCCCCTCCTCTATAACCATGCCCACTGCTCTTACCACCTGTTACTCTAGGGAATCATCCCCCGAGTTTAAAGAAATACCACCACCTAGCACACATGATGACGTCACTGCCCCTAAAGTTCGTGAGGTTACGTCTGAAAATGATGTCTCTCTAGAAAATATCGTAATGTTGGAGCTTGATAAGGACGATGTGGTGTTGCGGGGCTCAAGTGAACGGTGCTCAAGTGAACAGTGTCCAACCCCAGTAGAATCTCGACCAGAATCTCGGTGTTCAGATTCATCTCGCGAGCTGGATCAGTCTCAGAGCTCTTCGTATGATAAGTTGGAGGAGGATGAGGCTGCTACCATTTCTAATTCTTGTGGTCTAACCGTGTGAGACGTGCTTTTTATTGTAGATTGGATTCCGGATACACTGAGCAAGCGATATAAAATATCAAAAAAAACAGTGATAATCGTTGGAGTTTTAGTAACGGTTTAAAAACTTGTGGTTTCCGCTTTCTTTGGCTACGATACTCGATAGTGCTCACATTCGGAAACTTGTGGTGATCCATTCTTCCTTGTCACAGAGTATTGAGTAAACGATATTCATGACTAACGAATTACAACTGACGAAATGTATAAGTTATACTTATATGCTGTCAGAACCTGAACATATGATAACAGAACTGTTATGATAATTTTAAAAACTGTCTGAGATCAGTTTCAGATAGAACGTGCGAATCGCGCATTAGAGTTGTAACTTATGAAGTTCATTAACTTATAATTAATTAGAGTTGTAACCTATGAAGTTAATCAACTTATAATTAATTAGAGTTGTAACTTATGAAGTTATAACAAATTGGAGTTATAACTTATGAAGTTCATTGCATTGAGTTTTATTTGCAACTCATATTTTCTTAATTTGGAGTAACTGTACTGTTATGGAATGGATTTTTTGTGTGCTCCAATTCACTATCATTTCCAAGTTCCTACATAGTACATTATTTATCGCTTTTAACAAAGTTAAGTCCCCTGCTACACGGCATGTAAACAGGGATTGGCTAGTTAGAGGCGGTCCGTGTAGGCCTTACACTGTGCTTTCAGCAATACTCATAAGGCATGTGTGATTGTTTTAATTAGATCTATTCGATCGTAGAATTTGTAGACAAAAGAGATTTCAATTGAAGTTTAATGATTCCATGCCCTAACTTTCATTTCGATTAAATACTCCATAAAACATAATTCATTTGATTAAGTATTAATCCAATTCTTTCAATATACATACCACGGATTTTAAAACAAAAACCTTTTATCTCAATCTTTAATCCCGTAGAAAATTTAAAAACGTTTATTGTAAAAAATCTAATCTTGAAGAATTTAACATTTTACAAACATGCAAATATTTTGTTTCAATTTAGTGGCATTAACGGCCCATTCAAACTCATTACACGGTCGGATATTTGCCATAGAGCTGTAACTTTCTATCTGATAAGGAGTTATTACACATGGTGATATTCATTGCTCAATGTCCAAATCTTTTACAAGTTACAATCCTTTGTTCTGCATAATTCCTAATCTTGTCAACGAAACAAGAAGTATTGGTTCAGTGTTCACTTGTCATAGTTCGGTGCTTTCTCTTAGGAAACTGTTGCTCCTGATGCTTTCTCTTTAAAAACTGCTGTTTCTGCGATGCATCCGGGGTTGATTCCAGTCCTCTGATCTGCTTCCATCGTTCAGCATATCTTCCATGGATTTAGAAAACCCTACATCCTTCATATCATTAAATTCATCGAGACCCTCCGACTCAAAAAAGGATTTTATCCTTTTCATGCGCTTTCCATATACGGGATATCGTTCATCATCTGTAAACTGATCCTCCTTAGCACTTTTGACCTTCTTGTATACTTTAAACACGACTCCAACTATGATACCAATAGCTAGCAAGTAAGCCAGCGCCATGATTATTTCCCCTACCTCGAAGTACTTATCAAACCAGCTGGCAGGGTTTCCCATGTTGGCCCAAGTTCCCATCTTCAGGTAGCTCAAGTCCTCTATTTTCTTGTGAGCTAGATGAGCTGATGGTATTTTGAAGATATTTCCCTGCCTAGTTGTACACGATGGTTTCCGACAGGTCCGACGGGTGGATTCAGTACTGGGTGTTCTCAGGCAGACCCACAGTTTGGCTTCACATGCGGTTATAACTTCTTGCTTTATCACAAACTGTGAACTGAGACTGGGAACAGTAATAGTCAGATCCTCATCCACTTCCCCACCCTCAATCTTACCGATTATAACACCAACTGCTCTGTCGATTAACTTTATAGTAAGAATGTTGTTGCCGTAACTATCTTTTATTATCGCAGCTTCAAAATGACCAATCCTCGACAAGTCATGTAACCAAGCTGTTTCTGTAGAGTTCTTCCGGCGTGAATATTTCCCCTCGTACATTTGTCTATACGATAGGTCCACAGTAACTCTTCTAGAACTTTGGAGAGTCAGGTCAACGGAGCGGGAGTGGAATCCTGTGTTAACCTTCACTTCTTTAATCTCTGGGGCGTAGTATTGCTCTAAAGGAACGAGGTTATCAGTCAGCTTATAACCACTTTCACTTTCACTTTCTCCCAGAGACTCCTTGGTGTTGTAGTATCTCCCGTTGAACTCTACATCAGCGGAGCTGCTCCCACAGTTTATTGTCCTGATCTTCATAGCTGCATGGAAATCTGCCTCCCTAAACACTATCTCTCCTAGCTGGTTCTCTTTGTACCATCCTATCTTGCTCATATCATAACCGTGTAACTTGTTCAAACTATTTCCCAAAAAGTGGTGGATTTTGTCATTGTACAGGATATAGTCACCCGGTGAGATGGTTCTCTTTGGTGACCCGTCTAACTTCATTGTTATCTTGAAGAACTCGTCTAGTTCCATCTGAACACCAAGCTGACTGTCCATCAGTGGAAGTGTGTATTCTTCCTTTATGGTTAAGCGGTGTTTTAAATCTAGTACTGTTACGTTAAAGAGGAGACGAGATTCCATGGTGGAAAGCTGGATGACAGTAGCCCTCTGGTGCTGGTCTGGAGATATTGTAACCCTGCAACAGGTTGTAGCCTCTCCTCCCACCCAGACACACCCTTCTGGAGTCTGCCCTGTTGCCTGGACTACAAAACATGTCTCGTTAGTGATACCTCCAATAGTACTGGTCTTACAGCCACCCCACGCTGCAGAACAGTCCCGTCCTTTAGCTGCGGGACATACGCACATACACTCAGTCTCTATCACTGGTATTGAGAAATTGTAACCTATCTTAAAACCATAGCTCTGCTGTGTGCCGACGTATTTCACAGCATATAGTCGTTCTGCCACTATCTCTTCCTCAGGGTTCCTTATCTTTACTTTGTAGCACAAAGTCTCATTTAACGCTATCAGAGCAGAAGTTGCTTTAATGGTCCCTTTACGGTTGTCTTCATCCTGGAAAGAGACGTCTCCTTCAGTCACTGAAGAGGGCTGGAAACAGAAATCAGGAAAACTTGCGTTTCCTATGGTGAGGAGAAGTAGTAATACAGCACAATACATGACTATTAAAAGTAAAATGACGGTATTGTTAGGGCGTGGTATAAACCACAGGACGAGACCTGGCTGAAAGAAGCTTTTCTATTGTCCGGTCTAATGAAAAGGAAGATTGCATTTGTCGTGAGGCGTAAGAACATTGATCAGAAGACAAAGCCCATTTGTATCAATGGTTTATCAATGTCACGTGGCCTATTTCTCATCTTATTGACTGTACATGAAGGAAAAATTACATCACGTGTCATAATTGAGATTCAGAATCAATGGTCAATTAATCTCTAAAGTTAATTGTAGTGAGACTGATGTGTCTCGTTCACATAATTACAATGTCAGCCCTATTTGTGAGTATTCAATTAAATAATCTGGAAATAGCCAAGAGGCCTATGGTCACAGAATGATACGGTTAATGTGGGACTGAGAATAAGAAACAAATAACTTTTAGCTTATACTTATAGTAAAACAACTTTTTTACATTTAATTAACAAATTAAGACTGTGTCTATAGTCACTGTCACCTGTCTAAACAAATATGGTTGAGGTTCACCACTATTCAGATCTACAGATTGAGGCCTTTCGTTTCCTTTTTGTTTTTTCTAAAAGAAAAATATGGCGATCAGTTAGTCAGACATTTAACATTTTGTTCCAGAAAGTCATTTCAACAAATTAAAGCAACTACGCTACATCTTAAACATGAGGCAAATGATGCCTGATGGGTGACTGATGTTAAATTGAACCTCGTGTGTTTTAATTCGTACGCTCTAAGTTCCCTCACAAATTCGAGAGTAAAACTAAAAACATGAGTAATAAGAGTTGGTAGTTTAGCCAAGCACTATCTGATCTTGAAACGGTACCACTACCAGGACTCGTAGGACTTTCGTTTTCTGTTGGACCTGCGGAGTTTCAGAATTAGGAAAATCAAGTACCCCTTATTTCCCTAGTGCCCAGATTTACTCTGAGAATTTGTGTTCTTTGAGTTAATATTAATTAAACTAGGAAGTCCCAGTCCAAAACGATTAAACACGTAGAATGTAATTGTAAATGGGACAAGTAGAAATCTGAGATTTATAATTTCGTGTATAATATAGAAAATAATTGCGACATTATTAAACACTTCTTTAGTTCTTATATTGTTATACTTGAACTACAAGAGACTTCGACTGTTACGACTCTCTTAATGCACTCGGATCCAACAACACGCTAGAGATACGATGGATTGCAGCACACATCGGATTGTGGGGGAACGAAAAAGCAGATGATCTGGCCAAGCTTGGTACAACCAGTGAATCCACTTTGAAGTGTCCAATTCCACAATCCTACATCAAGCGTCAAATCGACAACAAAGTCAACAGACTGAATCAGGAAACTTGGTTAACTGACGGTCCCAGACACACCAAACTGACACTCGGCCACAAGCATGCCAAAATCATCAAAAACCTCAACACTACACTCAGCAAAAACAGACAAGATTACAGAACTGCAGTTCACCTCATCACGGGTCACTGCGGCTTAAACAAACACCTTCACACCATTTGCAAATCAAACACCAGTGCTTGTCCTATGTGCGGCGACGGAGAGGAAACTGTCTCACACTTCCTTGGACAGTGTCCAGCTATTGCCCAAATTAGAGGTCAATATTTCCAGGACTACTACCTCTCTGTCAATGACATATTCGACAACCAACACATCACCACAATTGTCAATTTCGCAAACCGCACCAAACGCTTAATTGTGCCGGAAGAGCTGGATCAGACCGGGGTGACTTAAAGTATTAGCTCATATGCTGTCTCGTCTCGTTTTACTTTTCCAAACCCAGCTGGCATTTAAGCGTATCATTTTGACTCATATATCATCTTACACCATCCTCCACCAATCACTCTGATTTCACCGGCAACCTTCCCCAAGGTTGCCACACCCCAGAGGTAGGCAGAGCATCTCAATGCTATCCTCTCGTGGGCTATCTTGGCCCAGCCTCTCTTAAAAAAAAAAAAAAAAAAATATTGTTATACTTGAAACTGAAAGAATTTTCATAATTTGTACTGCAGTAGCCTCGATCAGGCAAACCCCAGAGAAAATAAAGACAATTGTTTCAAGCAGCAGCTAATATTATCAACAGCTCTCGTTTGAGCTTCTCGAACATTATATTATCAATAGCCCCCTTCCTCATCTGTTCATCTGGGCCAGGGCTAGGCGGGAGTCCCTCAATGAGATCTATGACTTCTGAAAGTGAGAGAGGAGGGATATAACCGTGTAGTGGGTGCCAGGTCTGATCAGCAGATGTGAGGTTGGATCCTGAAGATGGTGAGGACACGTGGTCTTTATGATCGCACAACTGGTAGACCGGGGAGGGATCTCCTGTCTTGTTCGGCGTGAAGTTTGTCACTTCAAGATGAAAATAAGAAGGGGTGGTGTTATAGAGGGTAATTCCAGCAGGAGATAGGCAAGCAGAGGGATTTGTTGGGAGCCAAGATAATTCCCTCTGTTGTATCTCGGGGGAAAAGGTTTCGCTTTTAAGGGTAGGGGAAGATTCCAGAAATGAAGGGTCGATGTAAGAGGTCTGTTTGAAACAAGAGGAATTAGTGTTGACTGCTTTAGTAGAAGAACCATCTAAGTGGATAGCCATGTGTTTCTTCTTGGACGAGATATGACTGAAACTTTTGTCACAGTACTCGCATTTAAACGGCTTCTCCCCTGTGTGAGTCCTGAAATGCTGCTTCAAGTTACTTGACACGCTAAACGACTTGTCGCACCCACCAAAGGAACACTTGAACGGTTTGAAGCCTGTGTGAATCCTATTATGTCTCTTCAGGTTAGCCAAGTCTCCGAAGCCTTTGTTACAAACAGAACATTGGAAAGGTCTCTCGCCTGTGTGGGTCCTAATGTGGGTTCTTAGGTGATCTGGTTTGTGGAACGACTTATTGCATCCCTGGTAACTGCAAGTGAATCTCTTAGCCTGAGTTCTGAGGTGTTTAGGTGGAGGTGAAGAGGAGAGGAGCATCCGAGCAATTTGCATCCTCGACACGTCTGAGTTGTAATCATCAAACTGGGAGATAGAAACCGCGACATTGTATTTGTTGTTAACACTTTCATCATGATCCTTTGCAGACGTTATCATCTTTAACAAGAGTTGAACAAAAAGAAACTATTACAACGATGAATTGTTATTTTCACCATCTATTATTAAAGCTTTATACTTTTTTACTACAATTCTTGTCATGTTATTATTGGTTACAACCCACTCAGACGTTGGATCTTGATACAGAACTTTAACTTCAGGATTAGATCGTCAGGTTTCTCTGACGTTATGGCATGAGTTCCTGTTCGCTCCAGAACAACTAGGCTTGTTAGATTAGGTTGACAAGATCAGTAACCGGCTGATTAGATATGAGATCACCGGTATTTGGTGTAGAAACAGGGGTATTAGTTCAGATACAGGAGTGTTCGCTAATAAGAAACATGAGATTCCTGTTCCGGTTCGAAACTGTTCGGTCCTGATCAGGCCTATATTGCTGTTATCTTTATAGTCTCCTGTGATATGATATGGAGTCGAATCTATCCAGTTTGGTGATGTGAGAAGACGGCAGTGTCTAGTTACTCATGTCGAAGTCTTCATATATCTGTGTTAATATTTGCTCAGACTTTACAAAAGCCCAACAGGCAACAGCTAGCTAATTTCTTGAGTCAAGGCTCTTGTTTCGGTGTTACCTCGAGGCTTCATAACCAATAACTATCGAAGATTCGACGAAGAGAGAGGATGATGATTAATCACTCTACACTCGACTATCACGTGACTTGCTTGAACAGAGTGTGGAGAGGCTTGCATTAGTTATATATAAAAAACTAACTGTGGTTGCAGGAGGGTAGATCAGACAGTATTCCATCAATACACGTGACACCAGCTGGGCCTGACAACAAGAACCCTGTATTACAAGACACTGTGTACCCTCCTCCTGACTCCACCGTGGCTAGGCTTGGTGTGAGCAATCCCTCCGGTACACCAGGCTTCCCACACGGACCTGAAATAGGGACAATGTTATCAGGCAACTCATTGTATGTGATAACTGATTACTGAAGACTGTGATAATCGCCGAAATTAGGTAAGTTGTATGTTGTGAACATGAAGATATGTTCTCTAGTAAATAATAAATCATTCCTTGGCCTTGTTAATAATTACCTTATCGGACCTTATTTGGACGGACATTACATGAACGGACATAATTATGAACGGACATTAATATGAACGCTCGAAGGCATTCAAAACCATCAAAAATCCGAATTTTTTTGACTTTTTAAAATTTAAGCAAATGATTTTTAAATTCATTTTTTATACAGTAAGTAAGAAAAGCAGTCATTAAGCAGTAAAAATGTTAAAATATGTGTACATGATCAGTTTCTAATATCACATATCATCTTCATCAAATGGGTTTTCGTGCATGAAATAGTCCATGCTTAAAGCATCAGTGATTTCTAGCTTTATGGAAACCTTTTTTTATCAAACTACCCCGGTCCTGCATGTCAGTGTTAACTTTTACAAGCCATTCGGCGTGAAGTGGTTTTATCTTAGACAACTTATACTCTAGTAGCAGGGCATAGTTGAGTGTGCACTTCGATGTACACGATTTCTGACAACACAGGGTTGTTTGTTAGGTCATTCTAAACCAGAATCGTTTAGGTGGACAATTTGTTTCGCTAGAGACAACCCTACAGGGCAAATTTTCTAAATTACCCTCAGTCGCGTATACGGGATTTTCGTATTTCGGCTCCTAAAGGTCACAGAGACTTCATTTTTAGCGTAAAATTACCGCAGTGGCCACATTTATATACAACTTATTAATCAATGTATGGTCTAAAATTGTTTGTTCCCGAGATATCTGCAAAAACCTAATTTAAGCTCAGGCGTAGGCACCAATTTCATTAAATTTGTATCTCAGCTTCTGAAGGTCTTAGAGACTCAAACTTTGGCTTAAAATGACTGCAATACACATGTTTATATTGACACTATAAAGGTCACAAAGGTCCAAAATGCTTGCTTTTGGAAAAAATCCAGAAAAACTGATTTTCACTGGGGCGAGTGAAAAAATCTACTCTAGAAGCTAATTGAAATCGAGTGTGCAGTTTGGTGTCTACACATTTTCTAGAAACCAGGTCCTTTGTAAGTTCATTCTGGATCAGAATTGATAAGGTACGCAATTTCTATCAGTTATAGTTCCAACCCTAGGGGGGAAATTTCTCAATTACCCTCTGGCGCAAATATATGACTTTTGTATCTCGGCAGAACGTTGTAGGGGCCTCTCTTTTAGCTCAAACTAACTGCAAAAGCCACATTTACATACAAGCAATAGAGCAACATAGGGTTTATAGTGCTTAGCTTTGGAGATATTCATTAAAAACTGTTTTAACTTTCGTGCATCCTAAAATAGTAACATCAAACATGTTATTAATTTTGGAATCCTGGGCTAAAAAAGTCTTACAGACACTTTACTTGCAGAACAGCAAAATGTTCAGCATAAACACATTCAGATAATATTTATGGAGCAACACAATTAAGTTTCAGAAGCTCCTTCCAGCTATGAGCTATCTTATCTTATCCCCAAATGTATACATCTAACCATCTCTCTGGCTACTTCAAACTACTTCAATCCCCAAATTTATACATGAACATCTAACTATCTCGTTATAGCTACTACAAGTTGGGCTCTCTCCAGTACTGTTTGACTCTTATGGCCAATCAACTTCAATCCCACCTCATGAAGTAGAATCTACTTCTAGCTACCTTTAATTCTGCTACCTCTATGCCATGCCTATTCTACCCAGCTACCACCAGCACGTTATAATTTTAGCTCTTTCTAGCAACCTCTGAATGCTACCTCCTGCTCTATACAGGTACCACCAGTGGGCAGAAACCACCAATTCCAGCTCTTTTCACCTACTTCGGCTACATCTATTTAGCTACTACCGCAAGGCCCCCTGGCCCCTCCAACCTCTGCTCTTTCTAGCAAACTTAACTTAAGCTACCTCTTGCCTTTTATAGCACCGCCAGCAACAATTTATTCTGGCTCTTTCCGGCTGCCTCAGCTGCATTCAACAATTTCCAGCTCATTGAGGAAGAGGAAATCTGCTATTTCTAGCAACCTCTGAATGCTACTTCCTGCTCTATCTAGCTTCCACCAACATCCACTTATTGGTGTTAAGCTACCACTAGCACCTGCAAATTCTAGTCCTATCCAGCAAACTCAGACTACCTTATGCTATATCCAGATAACACAAGCACCCTCAAATTCTAGCTGGAGCCTGGAGGTAGCATGAATTATGTAAAAACAGATAGAATTTGAGAGTGCTCAACCAACTGAATATGGATGGATGTAGCCCGAAGTAGCTAAAATTTGTGGGTACCGTTTGCTAGTGTTAGCTGGATAGAGCAGAAAGTAGTCTGAGGTTGCTTAATAGGGATAAAATTTGCAAGTGCTGGCAATAGCTGAACAGAGTAGGAGTACGTCTGAGGTTGCTGGATAGGGCTAGAATTTGCAGGTGCTAGTGGCAAAATTTAAACAACAATTATTGGGTGTTGGTGGAAGCTAGATAAAGCAGGAAATAGCATTCAGAGATTGCTAGAAGGAGCTAGAGTGGAGGTAGCAGAATTGAAGGAAACTAGAAGTAGATTCTACTACATGAGGTTGGATTGGAGTTGATTAGCCATAATGGCCAAACAGTACTGGAGAGAGCCCAACTTGTGGTAAGACCGGGATCCCGGCTTAATCCCGATCCCTAATCCCGGTCTTAATCCCGGTCCTGGCACTTTTTCCCAGTCCCAGTCCCGGCCAAACAAGCGGTCCCGGTCGAGCCTTGGCTTTAACGAAATGGAAGCAACCAGGGAGATGGTCAGATGTATAAATTTGGGGATTGAAGTGGTTTGAAGTAGCCAGAGAGATGGTTAGATGTATATACATTTGGGGATACGATAAGATAGCTGGAAAGAGCTTCTGAAACTTAATTGTGTTGCTCCATAAACATTATCTGAATGTGTTCATGCTGAACATTTTGCTGTTCTGCAAGTAAAGTGTCTGTAAGACTTTTTTAGCCCAGGATACCAAAATTAATTACATGTTTGATGTTACTAATTTAGGATGCACGAAAGTTAAAACAGTTTTTAATGAATATCTCCAAAGCTAAGCACTATAAACCCTATGTTGCTTTATTGCTTGTATGCAAATGTGGCTTTTGCAGTTAGTTTGAGCTAAAAGAGAGGCCCCTACAACGTTCTGAAGCCGAGATACAAAAGTCATATATTTGCGCCAGAGGGTAATTTAGAAATTTCCCCCCTAGGGTTGGAACTACTGATAGAAATTGCGTACCTTATCAATTCTGATCCAGAATGACCTTACAAAGGACTTGGTTTCTAGAAAATTTGTAGACACTAAACTGCACACTCGATTTCAATTAGCTTCTAGAGTAGATTTTTTTCACTCGCCCCAGTGAAAATCAGTTTTTCTGGATTTTTTCCAAAAGCAAGCATTTTGGACCTTTATGACCTTTATAGTGTCAATATAAACATGTGTATTGCGGTCATTTTAAGTCAAAGTTTGAGTCTCTAAGACCTTCAGAAGCTGAGATACAAATTTAATGAAATTTGTGCCTACGCCTGAGCTTAAATTAGTTTTTTGCAGATATCTCGGGAACAAACAATTTTAGACCATACATTGATTAATAAGTTGTATATAAATGTGGCCACTGCGGTAATTTTACGCCAAAAATGAAGTCTCTATAAGCTTCAGGAGCCGAACTACGAAAATCCCGTATACGCGACTGAGGGTAATTTAGAAAATTTGCCCTGTAGGGTTGTCTCTAGCGAAACAAATTGTCCACCTAAACGATTCTGGTTTAGAATGACCTAACAAGCAACCCTGTGTTATCAGAAATCGTGTACATCGAAGTGCACACTCAACTATGCCCTGCTACTAGAGTATTAAGGTTAACCTTAACATCACGTGGAGCTTTCCTAGCACTGTTTCATTACCGCCCCTGAGTAATATGAGCTATAACAACGTCGGACAATGTCCTTGGCAACACGATTTACCGTAATATCTAGAGGCTGGAACAAGTTTGTCATGTTGGAACAAGTTTGTCATGTTGGCGGGGACTAGTTCATGAACTATGTTGTTGAGTGCCATAATTTCGTTGACTTTTTTCCGCCAAGTGACCCTTGAAAACATCATACACTACTACTAGTAGAGTTTTCTGTGCCTCCGGCAGACCAAGGAGAACCTTTCTGTCGTTAACTTACGGCACAATAAAGTTCTCAAAGTTGTCATATTCTGGACAAAAAGTTCGAAATGGAAAAATGTTTGACAAAATTTCAACGGACTTTAACTTGGACGGACATTAATTGAACGGACTTTATTTGAACGGACATTAAGATGAACGCTAGGGCCTCCAGCGTTCAAGTAATGTCCGTCCAAATAAGGTCCGATAAGGTAGTAAAGGAGCTAATTATAGTAATAGAACATACCACCGTGAACCCTGATCTGCTGAACAAGAGAGAAGCTATGAGTTGTCTTCTTGGGTATCTGATGGTGCATCCTCAATATACCGTCCTTACTGGACACTGGACCTGATAAAGAACACAATTCATTATTCAATCATTTACCTCACAAGCTACAGGAGCTGTTGCTAGGAGTAAGTGCTTAGTCCGAACACCGACTATATGACACGATATGTTTCTATAAGTATATATACCGTCCTTACTGCCACTGGACACTGGTGACTGGACCTGATCGTTAAAGTACACAATTCAAACATTTGCCTCACAAACCACAGGACGTTGCTAGGAGTAGGAGTATGACGTTTTGTAGGACGGGTTTCATTAGGAATCAGTGTTCAAAAATACCTCAATTTAATTTGATTTCAACTCCGTGAAGAGTGGTTAAATACGCTTTATGATGTGATGGCTGATGCTGCAATCCTCAGTTTTCAGCTATTACTTTTGAAATTCCACCAAAATACCAAATAACCACATATTTTACCGTACCCAGCCCATAACCCATCCTAAGATTTCCAGAGGGTAGATCCGAGTTGCTGATCGTATATTTACAGGTCATAACTCCGTCCACCATAGCCCCGTCTACTGCTCCTACCGCCACATTGGTTACTGGGGTTCTGGGGCGTTGGATCAGATCAATCTCCCTGGCAACCAATCAGCAGAGATACTGTCACAGCAACACAGCACGCAGTGAGTGTGACACTTCTGTATTATATTTTAATACATAGAGACTGAACAACGTCATAAGATTAAGATAAAGAACTCACCCCATTCCCTGACCCCTTGTAGGTCGCTTAGTTGCAGTGTAATTCTCACCATACTTATGACACACATACGCGGTCATACCCCCCATTCGACCAGTCAGAGAGAATCCAAAGGCGAGCCACAAGTCCGAGTAGCGAGGTAGGAGGTTATGTTCTGACCTGTTCCCTGATATCTGTATCTACGATGGAGAAGTGATCAGAAAGTATTGATGATTGATGGATGCGTCAAAAACAGATGCTTAACTTTAAACACTAAAGTGTAAAAATCACAATCTAATTTCTGATTTCTCATCGCACGCGGACTTTATCATGTACTACATAAGTACATAATAGATACTTCTAATAGTAATTTGTTGAGAACTAGAATATTACACCATGTACCGAAGTGGTACTAGCAGACTCAGCTTTGTACATCAGCAAGTAGCCACAATCAGCAGTGCAACCAGATGGTTCCGCTACACATTTCACTCCATCGTGGTTGCAGATCAGTTCGCCGAGTATCAGGGAGGGTAGCATAGTTTGATAAAACAAAAACCAGATAGACCCGGCCATTCTAAAAGAACTCGAGTAGAGAATAAAGTTAATTTTACCTGAGAGATAAATAACAAACTACATTAGTACAACATACAAATTCAGAGGACCGCGCGTCGATGATCAAGTGTACAATTGCAAATTGTTAAAATGATTACGTTTAAACGATCCCGTACTAGAATATGAAAAAAAGATCCGGCGGCTTAACAAATGAATGGTGATTAATTAAAATAGCATATGATGCTTGCGTGCAACACCGCCATCAATCATATAATATCATTACGGCTAAATGTATAACACTAACAGAGCATAAATGTACTGCTCAGCTTGAGCTATGCATATGGTTTGGACACTAGGCTAGATTACCTGTATACCATAAATAACATTTATCTATAGATAGGAGTTAGGACGTAGGAGTCTTATATGACATAAAAACCGAGAAAATATTCCCGATTCCAGGAGTGCTAGAATATTGTTGAAAAGTCTGATTAAAAACTAATCATGCAGAAGTTGACAATATTGGTAATACCAATGCTAAAGTAATAACGAGTTCATTTAGCTATAAAAACCTCATTAAAAGTATTTAATGGGATTTGGGCAACAACTCCTTCAGCTCAGTGTTAGAATGTAGTGACGAATTAGATTAGTTGCTATTTCTAATGCTCCCCGATCTCATAACAAACATAGCTCGCGTTGTTAGAGGTCAATATGCGATGCCAATAGTGGCGAGGTATTGTTGTGTACTCGGTCAGCTCAACAGCTAGGAACTAAAGATCTACAATTCCGAACTCTAGTGGTTAAGGTGTTTTATTAATCAACGAAATGTCCACACGTTCTAGAACTTGGTAGGTAATTAAATAACTGCAGTTTGGTATTATGCGGAACAGAGAGCAGTTGAATCTTAATTTAGTTGTCCCAGATGTTAATCTTCAGGGACAAAGTTAATGTGAGGAACATATTGTCCCACATCGAATTTCATCACGCATTAATTTGGTTTCAATTGTATTTGTAAGAATTGGTTAATTCTAAAAATATCAAAGTTCCAGACTGATTAATAATAATGTACCAGAGATTATTGTAGAGTGGATTATACAATTTTCTTTACTAATCTGTAACCAAGGACCTATTCGCAGAGTTAAGTTGTATCTTTTACGGTTTTTGCGGAAAGTCGTGTTAAAGGAGACAACCTTGTTACGTATTGAGGCACTGAGGCACTTGAGGCAGTACTTTGAGGCACTTGAGGCAGTACTTTGAGGCACTTGAGGCAGTACTTTGAGGCACTTGAGGCAGCACTTTGAGGCACTTGAGGCAGCACTTTGAGGCACTTGAGGCACCACTTTGAGGCCCTGAGGCACCACTTTGAGGCATTTGGGACAACATTTTGGGGCACTGCGGCACTCGAGGCGCCAATTTGCGGCACTCTCAAGTGTAAATATTTCCAAACATTGAAAACGTAATATTTAAATTTTAAACTACCCCATATTTATGCATCTTCAAGTTCAGCGGTGAAATGAATATCGTTCAACATTTGCCGTTAACTATTACATAATAGCAATACGCAGTAAGTAAGTTCTAATTTTGTAATGTTTATTTGTGGGTGTAGTTCACCTTGTACACGAATAAGACAATGGTTTTGAATATAGCGGTAAAGGAGTAATAAATAAAATAAGGCAAGTGAAGTCAAAGAATACAATATAATAATCACATCAATAATAAAAACATGGTATACTGTATAAACTATAGATACAATACGAAGTATGTAACACTTATAAATAGTTTATATTTGTTAGCACTTTGTCGAACACAAGAAATAACAAGTTTATATAATTAATTAAATAGAAGTATAATTTTAATTGATTGAATATACGGTACTGCCAAGTTAAAAATTTCTATCTGTCAGTAAGTTGCTACGATGAATTTGAAGTAACTTGAAGTTTTGGAAAGTATTATAACCAGTGAGCGAATGTTCTTAAAGATGTAACAAAAACAGCAAATTTAATCGAATGGTTGCTGGAGTGATACAGGGGGGGGGGGGGGGGGGGGGCAAAGTTAGTACCCATACGTTGGCCTTATCAGCTCGGTCACTGAGTGCAAAATTAAAATAATTCTTTCTGGTATAAAATACTACCAGTACCACCACTGGTCACCATCAGGGCACTGATGATTGGTATTGTTTTATACATATCATGATACGGATTGTATATAATGATGTGGAGGTATAAGACCCAACGTATGGTCACTGACTTTTGGCCCACCCTGTATATATTTATTATATATAGCATAATAATAATGATACATATGGGTCTGGGAAAACTAAAACATTCGGGACACTTAAGGAAGCCAAATCTCCAGTCAAGTTTTTATTGAAACTAACTTAATTAAAAGCCCTTTCAGAAATTTTACCCTGAATAAGTAAATGAATTTTCTATCATTTTAATTTTCTTCCCTAAAAGTAAAACCAGAAAGCCAGAATGTAAATGAATAATGAGTAAGAATTCCAACGTGTTACCATAGGTCTACTACAGTTATCAGCGGACAAATGCTGGTGCCTTGAAAAGGTGCCTCAAGACTTATCATTAGTGCCTCAAATTGGTGCCTCAACTGCCTCAACTGCCTCAATACGTATTGAGGCAGTGATATCTGTGTGGGATAGTGGTGGGTACTTTGGCTTCGCATGCAGTAGGTTAAGGTTCGATTCTGTTCACCACTAAACGAAAATATTGTTAGAAAGCGTTCAGATATATTTTAGTTTACTGCATGTGACAGAAATCTAGAAGATCAAAACGTATTATATATTATGTACTGTATTATGTATATTGTACCCGGCCATATATTATATAAATAATATTTATAAATTTAATTTGCGCGCACGTCACGTCACGCGCGTCACTGTAAAAAAAACCCAGCAGAGAATGTACTCGCGCGTTCCATTTCATAACTGGTTCCTGGATCAAGGACATAAAATGATTGCCAAAAATGTATCCTTATAATATAGATTTAAAATATCAAAATCACGTAGCCCTTTTAGAGAAACGTTGTTTGTTATTCTCAATCGATGAAATCATTCCAATCGATAAACTGGTACATTATTGAGATGACCTAACAGTTCTCGTTGAATCTCTTCACATTTCAAATGGTATACATGCTCGTTTGCTTGTAAAGGGGACATCTACTTAGGACGTCCGCCATAATTGCAGACTTTTTATACCACCTTCTCCCCCTGTACGGGTGTGTCCGAATTTACAAAACCATACGCATACATATATATCTATACACTAGATATCTATATCGTCTCGATTTATACATATATAGTAAGATATATATTCAAAATTTAAAATTTAGTTTTAACAAAAACACATTTATATTATATTTTAAACTTGACAAAATTCGCCCGGCAACGGGGAAGAAAAAACATTGAAAATCGACCAAAAACTGACCCTCTGGTAACACCAATTTCAGCTCACAAATGGAGTCGAAACCTCGCCATTTTTAGCAAGGTGTAAAAAGGGATAGGAATAGGATATGGCATTTTTAGAATTTTGATTAAGGCTTTAGATTTTCTATAATTAACGTCGGAAGTAAGGTGAAATATACGTTAGAATAATGGTGTTACTTTATCAAAGGTGTCATGCTTTATAAAACGTCATGATTAGCTCACATTTACGCTCAAGATTATTACTATTTATACCTTTGGTTGTGATTGATATCTTTTGATGCGGTAAAAAGTGTCGTTTAGGGAAACCGAATACTAACGACGTACATAACACTTCTTTCACTGGAAACGACTGACTATATTATAAATTCCTCTTGAAAACACTTCGACTGATTGATAGTTGGTTTTTTTGAGGGCTAAATAAGGTTCAAGAATCAATAACTTTATAGAACATCTATATCTCGTAGATTCGTTTTTCCATGTTGTTCACCAGAGTTAGGATAGTACATCATATGATTAATCAATGCCTGAGATTTAAATTAAATTAATTGAATTAGAAAATAGCAAGTACTCTGCCGAATTATCGACTAATCTAATAGCATATTAGCTGATCTTTATGTTTTTTACATTAAATATCATCACTACACCGTATAAATGACATTGATAACAATATAATAAAGATTGCAACTTACATATTCAAACTGGAAAGGGCGTTTTCGTGTCCTCTGTGCTGCAGTTTACCGACTACAGTCGCTGATACTATCCATAAAAGTAGAACCTGTTAGTGCAATGACATTCTAGGATAAAATTAGGGTTGAATATCTTGAAAGATTGCTCTGTCGCATCAGATAAGCATACATGTGCATTTTATATAATTATCTGTATTCTATTAGATACAACACATAAAATGTTACAATTTTCAGAATGTCAGAATACCCGAAAGTTTTGAATATTAATTGACATAATAAAGGTTTTCAATTATCAAGCCAAATGTGTGCAAAAAATTTGGAGTTCTTAGCTTAAAGCGTTCTCATTTTATGAAGACAATAGTGAAAAAGAGGGAGTGTCACGCCACGCCTACTGTAATTGGGCGTGGCTTACGAAACTTTCAGGAAATCTAAGTTTGACCCATATCTATAATCTCTGAAATTTTGGTGCAATTTGGAGACGAATTACGTGAGTTATTAAGAGGTTGCGTGTGGGTAGTCACTTATGGGCCACCCTGTATTATATTCGATTGAGGTGCCAAATTATGAATTTTGCTCATGCAGTATCATGGCAGTAATAAATAATTATAGTAATTCCAATAAATGAGACTTCGAAAATGATAAAATGATTAAAAAAAGTTGTATTAATGTATGAAATTGTAGAGAAGTAAAAGATTTACATACCGATAAGTTTTTAAATGATGACAGCTTCAACACTGCATTTCTGCATAAGCCGCTTTTTACAATAAATGTGAATAGTGAAAATACATCAAGAGCTCACGTCTTATACATTGTAAGACCTATAAAATTGGTGCTTTAAATAGGCAGATTACCTCAATAGTCGATACATTACAATAATCAACAATAACGTATTTGCTACCATAAGCTCACTTCCCTCACTTCTAAAGCGATGCTTCTATTCGGATTAGCAGTTCTAGTAGACTGTTAATTTGCAGCTTCCAAAAATTATCAATTAACAGTATTCATCAATTTATTCTATGCCGTTAATGAAAATAGCCAAAGTATAAAATAAATAAACAACTCGCTTTCGTAAGCTAAAATAAAAAACAAAAATGCCTTAAAACATCAGCTTTTTAAAATTATAAACTAACAACAATTAACAATTTATTATCGGCTGTTCATAAAAATTATTATAATAAACTACTCGCTTTCATGAGCTAATTTCTAAAACAAATTTCTAAAAACAGCTAATAAAAACTATCAATTAACAGCAATTACAAGTTTATTTCTACGGTGTTTACCCCGAATAAACAAATGATCAATACAGGGTGTTTCAAGACACGTGTTCAAATTTGAAATTATAATTTTCTATTTTACAAAAGAGCAAATTAAGTACCTGTCCCAAACCATCAGAAAAATCAAGTTTTGACCTCTTGACCCACTCAGGCCACTCCCTGGGGCCACGCCCATCCCAAAATAGCTAAAATCCAGGTAAAATCAAGACTGAGAATCTTTACCCCTGTATGGGATTTATGTTTCGTGGTATTTGAAACATGATTTGGTGATTAGATATGAAGAACCTGACCCAAACAATCAATTAAAAGGGGATTTGAAAACCGTGTCAAATCCCCTACAAATCCATACTAGAATCTTTACCCCTGTAGGGGATTTATGTTCCGGGGTATTTGGAACAGGTTTAGGGGTTTAAATAGTTAATACCTGTCCCAAACCATCAGAAAATCAAGTTTCGACCTCCCAACCCACTCAGGCCACTCCCAGTGGCCACGCCCATCCCAAAATAGCTGAAATCCAGGTAAAATCAAGATTGAAAATCTTTACCCCTGTAGGGGATTTATGTTCCGGGGTATTTAGAACAGGTTTAGGGGTTTAAATAGTTAGTACCTGTCCCAAACCATTAGAAAAATCAAGTTTCGACCTCTTGACCCACTCAGGCCACTCCCACTTCCCAGGAACAATGCACAACTATTTGTAGGGGATTTGAAAACCGTGTCAAATCCCCTACAAATCCAGACTGAGAATCTTTACCCCTGTTTATGTTCCGGGGTATTTGGAATATGTTTAGATGGTTAAATAGTTAGTGCCTGTCCCAAACTATCAGAAAAATCAAGTTTCGACCTCCCAACCCCCTCAGGCCACTCCCAGGGGCCACGCCCGTCCCAAAATAACTGAAATACAGGTAAAATCAAGACTAAGAATCCTTACCCCTGTATGGGATTTATGTTTCGTGGTATTTAGAACAGGTTTAGAGGTTTAAATAGTTAGTACCTGTCCCAAACCATTAGAAAAATCAAGTTTCGACCTCTTGACCCACTCAGGCCACTCCCACTTCCCAGGAACAATGCACAACTATTTGTAGGGGATTTGAAAACCGTGTCAAATCCCCTACAAATCCAGACTGAGAATCTTTACCCCTGTTTATGTTCCGGGGTATTTGGAATATGTTTAGATGGTTAAATAGTTAGTGCCTGTCCCAAACTATCAGAAAAATCACGTTTCGACCTCCCAACCCCCTCAGGCCACTCCCAGGGGCCACGCCCATCCCAAAATAGCTGAAATCCAGGTAAAATCAAGATTGAAAATCTTTACCCCTGTAGGGGATTTATGTTCCGGGGTATTTAGAACAGGTTTAGGGGTTTAAATAGTTAGTACCTGTCCCAAACCATTAGAAAAATCAAGTTTCGACCTCTTGACCCACTCAGGCCACTCCCACTTCCCAGGAACAATGCACAACTATTTGTAGGGGATTTGAAAACCGTGTCAAATCCCCTACAAATCCAGACTGAGAATCTTTACCCCTGTTTATGTTCCGGGGTATTTGGAATATGTTTAGATGGTTAAATAGTTAGTGCCTGTCCCAAACTATCAGAAAAATCAAGTTTCGACCTCCCAACCCCCTCAGGCCACTCCCAGGGGCCACGCCCGTCCCAAAATAACTGAAATACAGGTAAAATCAAGACTAAGAATCCTTACCCCTGTATGGGATTTATGTTTCGTGGTATTTGGAACATGGTTTGGTGATTAGATATGAAGAACCTGACTCAAACAATCAGAAAAACCAAGTTTCGACCTCTTGACCTACTCAGGCCACTTCCAGGAACAATGCACAACTATTTGTAGGGGATTTAAAAACCGTGTCAAATCCCCTACAAATCCAGACTGAGAATCTTTACCCCTGTAGGGGATTTATGATCCAGGGTATTTGGAACATTTTTAGGTGGTTAAATAGTTAGTACCTGACCCAAACCGTCAGAAAAATCAAGTTTCGACCTCTCAACCCACTCAGGCCCCCTCCCAGGGGCCACGCCAATGCCAAAATAGTTTAAATCCAGGTTAAATCAAGACTAAAAATCTTTACCCCTGTAGGGGATTTATGTTCCAGGGTATTTTGAACATATTCAGGTGGTTAAATAGTTAGTACTACCTGACCCAAACCATCAGAAAAATTTAGTTTTGATCTACCACCCCACTCAGGCCACTCCCAGGGGCCACGCCCATCCCAAAATAACTAAAATCCAGGTCAAATCAAGATTGAAAATCTTTAGGGGATTTATGTTCCGGGGTATTCGGAACATGATATGGTGGTTAAAAATAGTTAGTACCTGACCCAAACAATCAGAAAAACCAAGTTTCGACCTCTTGACCCACTCAGGCCACTCCCAGGGGCCACGCCCATCCCAAAATAGCTTGAAATCCAGGTAAAATCAGGACTGAGAATCTTTACCCCTGTAAGGGATTTATGTTCCGGGTTATTTGGAATATGTTTAGGTGGAATATGTTTAGGTGGTTACGTAAATAGTTAGTACCTCTCCCAAACTATCAGAAAAATCAAGTTTCGACCTCTCAAGCCACTCAGGCCACTCCCAGGGGCCACGCCCATCCCAAAATAGCTGAAATCCAGGTCAAATCAGGACTGAGACTCTTTACCCCTGTAGGGGATTTATGTTCCAGGGTATTTGGAACATTTTTAGGTGGTTAAATATTTAGTACCTGTCCCAAACCATCACAAAAATCAAGTTTCGACCTCTCAACCCACTCTAGCCACTCCCAGGGGCCACACCCCGCCCACCCAAAATAGCTGAAATCCAGGTAAAATCAAGATTGAAAATATTTACCCCTGTAGGGGATTAATGTTCCGGGGTATTATTTTTGGTATGACTTACTATCACCACTCATTCGAGGAATATGTTGAATCAAAGAATATTCATATTCATTTTTTCGAATGAAGGTTCATTATCGCATTTATTTGATAGTTTAGATAATCAAGTCGAGCCAAATTTTATAGAATTGTATTTGGCCATTCAAATTACGTTTGATCCAAAAAAAATGAGAGTTGTAGCTTCTCAGATGACCGAGATACGAGGCATAACGAGTTTATTCATTACGTGTGATCATGTGATTGGGTGACCCAGTTAAATTGCAAGGGAACCCAATTAGTAGTTTTATAGACCACATTTAATTTATTAACTTATCATACTTAGTATTTATTTTTTTGGTGACTGTATCACCTAGTTTTAACATTTGATAATTGTACAGTTTATTGACGACACATTGTGTTATGTATTGTATATTTGATATATATTGTTGATATATATTGTATTTGAATAAATGGTTAATTATATATTGTTCAGGTTTTGATGGGAAACTAGTGTATGACTTGTCCAACAATAACGCAAGCACATAACATAACATGGTGTCAGAAGTTAGAGGATTTTTCGAATGTACCCAGTATGAAAATGACCAGCCTTTCGACCAGTGGGTAGAAGAATTTGAAGACTCAATGCTTGCAAATTTTGGGGAAATAGACGACAGGCGAAAGAAAGCCATTTTGATGCAGCTGTGTGGGGGAGCCGTGAAAAAATTTGTATCAAGCCTAAGCAATGAAGCGAAAGCTTCATACAAGTTGATCAAGGTCGAGATCATCAATAAATTTAGACATACTGCAAACGAGACGGTAGAAAGACACATTTTTAACACAATGGACCAGGAAGAAGAGGAAACCATTGAAGCATTTCAAATGAGGCTTCGAATGCAGGCTAAGAAATGCAACTACACGATCCCGCCAAGAGAAATAGAAATCGATCTAGAAGGTGGAGAGAAGAAAAAG